CTTGTGTTGCACCCGAAACGTCGTGGTTGTATGTTATTTTATACCTACGTGACTTTACCGAAAGAACCAAAGAGCCTGTACAGAATTTTCGCTCCAAACCTGGGGTGTTTCATTCAGACGCTGTCTTCCCGACAGACCTGTTCTTCACCTGAGGACGGCTGCTTGCTTGCGTTGTGGCCGAAACGTCGTGAGAATTACTTAATGTTTTATTTGTATTATTTTATTATTTCCCTTCTACGTGACTTTACCGAAAGAAACAAGAAGATGAATCCCTGCAGTCACGAAAGCTTTAAATCGAAACTGTACAGAGTTGTACAGCACCGTCGTTCTGTTGGGGCAAATGTAGTTGGCACACGTGGTGGGGGTTGCCAGCATTCCACCCCTGGTCACCTTTGTCTCCCCAGTGCGAATGATGTTGACACTGTCTGCCAGGTACCTAACAGAGGCGGATGTCGATGGGTAGGCAAACACAGGCGTACACGAATTGTGAATGTCGTGGGTTTACTCTCCAACACACCCGTGTGTGCGCTGGACTAGTAACAAGTTGGCACGTTCTGTTCACGTGACAAACCTTGCCAATTGGCTGTGTCAGGTGGTGGCGGGTTTGACGACACATTCATATATTTACACGATCTAACCCCCCCAAAAAAGTCGCATAAATAGAGGCATTTTTATTTATTTTCATACCCAATCAGAATTAGTGTTTTCTCTGGGGGGGGGGGTGCATGTAGCGTGGTGTGAACCATCAACATTCGAGCAAAATGGGACACGTCCACTACCATGCCCCATGACTGTTTTTTATTTGGTTGTTTTTGTATGTATGTTGAACTTCTTTCGCACCGTACGTAGCCATCCGCGCTTGTTTTTTTTACGCTAGTTCTTTTGTCGTTTTGGTGACCCGCCCCGGGTCTGCCACTCTTAATCTATATCGCGAGGTCTCGCCCGGTCAAACAAAATAAACTTGAAACTTGACTCCCCAAAACGTATTTTTCGCGTGGATAAACTCTGGAATTCCCTCCCATCGTTTCTCCTCCAAAGTGCTTACAGCCCGTGCCCAATTCAAGAAAAAAAAACTGTTTCATCTCTTACCCCGTTACACCTTCCGATAGGGGCCGTTTGTTTCTGGCCTACGCCCAACAAACCGTGACAAAGAAGGGAGGAGGAGGGGGGTGACGGGGCGAAGCGCATTGGCACCAGAACTTATTTTGTTGTAGCGGCTGCGATCCGTGCGTGCGTTTGTGTTTTGGCACGAGGGTTATATCCTGCAGTCTCCACCCCTTGCACGCACTGCACCCACCCACCCGCACTGCATCCACCCACCCACACTGCACCCACCCACTCACACACCCACTCACACACGCACTGCACCCACCCACACGCACTGCACCCACCCACTCACACACGCACTGCACCCACCCACCCACACTGCACCCACCCACCCACATGCACCCACCCACCACATTCACTGCACCCACCCGCACGCACTGCACCCGCACGCACTGCACCCACCCACACTGCACCCACCCACACTGCACCCACCCACCCACACTGCACCCACCCACCCACACTGCACCCACGCACCCACCCGCACGCACTGCACCCACCCACACTGCACCCACCCACCCACACTGCACCCACCCACACTGCACCCACCCACCCACACTGCACCCACCCACACTGCACCCACCCACCCACCCACACTGCACCCACACTGCACCCACCCACACTGCACCCACACTGCACCCACCCACCCACACTGCACCCACCCGCACTGCACCCACACGCACTGCACCCACACGCACTGCACCCACCCTGCACCCACACGCACTGCACCCACCCACGCACTGCACCCACCCACCCACCCACACGCACTGCACCCACCCACACTGCACCCACCCACTCACCCACACTGCACCCACCCACTCACCTACCCACACTGCACCCACCCACTCACCTACCCACACTGCACCCACCCACTCACTTACCCACCCACACGCACTGCACCCACCCACACGCACTGCACCCACCCACACTGCCAATACCATTAGCCGCCATTCGCTACTAAGTGACGTCACCACGGCGCCTGTGCCAGGCCAGGTGCACTTTGAGACCACGTGAAGTGTCGAAGGCTCGCTGACAGGAGGAGGTCTCGGGACAGACCTAGCAGGTGCCATGGGTTGGCTGACTGAGATGACCGGTAGATGCAACACCAGTAGGTAACCCCCTTACTGTGCCAACTTTTGCTGTATTTTATCCGCCCTGCTCGTTGTTGTGAGCGTCGCTCCTCTGCCCTCCGTTGTTGCTGGAGGGCGACTGCCTCCAACTGCCCAGTAGCAGCAGCAGCGTCCTTCACGAGCCTCCTCCATACAAAGATAAAGACCCCCCGTATAGCCTCAACAGACTGTAGGGGCAAGTGCTGTTAGCGAGCACCTATGAAAGCCGCAACGGTACACGAGGGGGTGGGTGGCAAGCACCACGCCCGACCGCCTTTGTCTCCCTAGTGACGATGTTTACACACCGCACCAGGTACTCATTTGAGGCTGAGTCGACCTAGGGGAGGCCCAGGACCGGTTCAGATAATCGTCACTGGGGTTGGCCGTGAGTGGCAATCGAACTCCTCCATACACGCACGCACGCACCCACCCACACCCACCCACACACCCACACACACTTCCCTCCCACCACTCCTTTCACCCTCGTCTGCTTCATTATCCACCCACCCATCCAGCCTTATCTCGCCTCCCCTTATTTATACAAGGAAGCCGGTTCTGTGAGTTGGTTACCTGCGACCGGATGCGTCGAACACCTTTCCCCGATTCCCTTTGTTCCCCTCCCTCGAACCTCGACTGATTTGCATGATAAACTCATGGAACATTCCTCATGGCCATTGTGTGTGTGTGTGGAGAGAGAGGGGGGTGTGAGACATTCATGACGGTCGATTAGACACGTGCAGTGCCGGATTATCGTAGTAGCACAAGTAGCTACATATGCTATGGACCCCGCACTTTCAAGGGCCCCGCGCTAAATGCTTTCAAGCCATCAAATCCGGTTCAGTGATTCTGCACTTGCTCTATTACTATAGTACTATACCGCCTTCAACTTTTATGAACGACTGGGTGTTTAAGGTTAGCGATTTGTCGTATTATATCTGGCTGTATAGCAAATGAAAAAATCCAATTACTTTACTATGCAAGTTAAACATTTATGTGTTTTCATATTTACGTGGTTTTTTTAGGACCCCTTTATAACATATGCTACAGGCCCCGTACTAGCTTAATCCGGCACTGGGCACGTGCACAGCATGTGACTACATTATTCGCGATAATTGGTTTTTTACCCTTCCATCTGGCAACAAAGCTGACACCTTTTTTACAAGGAGTCATGTTTGCATAGACCACAATACCTGCAGTCATAATGCAAACAAAAAACGTAACTGATAATGTGCACTGTCCTTGAAGTTGATTGGTCCACACCCGACACAACTTTCCTTAGAGCCTAGTCTCACATGGGTTGGACCAGATGACGCCAAAAGGCGCACAACTCAAAGACAATGCACCATCAGTATGAGAGCTCGGGTTAAGCATTTACACCATTGGAACCTCATTTGCCAGTAAAAATTATGATAATTGTTTTTTTACCCTTCCATCTGGCAACAAAACTGACACCCTATTTTTACATTATTCGTATTTTAGTCCACGAGCCCCAGACCACACACCACTTTTGTCGGTCACAGCGTAGTTGGTTCCAATGTCCTTATTGTGGCCAATAACGGTGAATTCTGTGATAACCGTTTGGAGCCAGTGGGGCTGTCAAGTAATTAACGCGCACACGCCGGGTAACAAAACAGGCGGCGCCACGAGTGACGTTGCTACCTTGGGTGGTAACCCGAGTTCAGGCTGTGGCCCGCGGGCTTTTTAAACGGAGATGATTTGTCCGTGCGGAAAAGGTTGGCCCCCGTAGTGGGTGACACGGACCCGAGTTTGGCAGTCGATGAACGTGCCCGACTGGACATCTCTAGAACAAAATAGCTTCCTAGCTCATCGGATTTCTCCAGTACAAACAAAGGTTATGATATTGTACCCTAACGATGTCTCGTACTATGAACTGGGTTGACACCGAGTGGATGTCGAGGACAATGTAGTCCCCATTATACGGTGCTGGTTTAGACCCTTGAGTGTGATTTATTGCGTGCGTGTATGTGTGTGTCGCGAGATTTGGGCGGTGGTGGCTATGCACGTGGTCTATAATCCAGTACCGCGGAGGCGAGGGTTGATGGATCGCACGGATACAGGTTTTCCCTCGCTTTATACGGTAGATGCCTTCTACAAAAAAAGGTGCTCGCAAAGCGAAACCGCTCGAGGCAGCTGCCTGCCGGGTGGCGCATCCAGCACGCAAGCAATGTCGTCCCACGTCTGACCGTTTAGCTTCGTACGAGTGAATTCAAATCGCGTAATATCGCCAATCTTGGGTAGATATAGGTGAGCCGCCATGTGCACGCCAAATCGCACAAAACCGAACCCTCGCAAAGCGGCGGGGGAAAACCTGCCTTGTGAAATTCCCTTCCTGTGGGCATCGAGGAGCCCCATCGTACCCATGGCTCACCAGGCGAAGGCAGTACAGCAAGTGTGCACTCCGCCTGTCCCATCTGTACGGGATAACAGTGTGGCCCCCGCGCACGTGTGGGTCTTCTCCGAGTGCTCTGGATTCCTTCCCAACCACGTGTAACGACCCATTATTTGGCCGAAACACCTTCACATATACGAGACCGTAGAACTTGGGCAAATTGTTGGTCGTGCCGGCTCGCCATGCGGCTGACCTCCAAGCTCGTATTCGGCCCGTCGTTCTCTCTCTTCGAGGGCGCGCCGAAATACCGTACCGGGCACTTTCGCAAGTTGAAAATGAGCGTGTTATTGAGAGAGAAAAAAAAACAATTGACCAATTGTAACCTCTCGTCGCTACCGTACCTGTGTAACGTGCGCGCCCGCGTGTTTGCGTAACAGGAAAGCCTGCACCAGGTGATCGTCATGCCGCTTCCGGACGTTCTGACGTTGGCCCGAGACCCCCACTCAGGTACGGGCGCCCCCGGCAGAGGTACGCAGGGCACACAGGACAGGTGTGCTGTTTGCGAGCACCGAAAAGGCCGGTGGCACATGATGGGGTGGGTGGCCAGCACCACGCACGGCCGTCTCCTTTGTCCCCCTGGTGCAGTTGTTTACACACCGCACCAGGTACTTGTTCAAGGCTGAGTCGGCCTAGGGGAGGCCCCAGGACCGGTTCAGGAATTCGTCACGCAGGGTTGCCGGGTTCATGATCGCCGCTCACTAACCGCTAAACTACTGCTCCCCATACACACACGGCACGCACAGAGTGCACACACACACACAGGGCATACACACACACACACAGAGTACACACACGGCACACACACACGGCATACACGGGGCATACACAGGGCACACATCCACATTCGTGCATTTGACAATATATTTTTCCCCGATTGTGCATTTGACGTCATGCCAGGAGACGAGGCCCCCCATTCAGTTCTCTCGCAGAGCAGTGGCAACCCTTCCGGGTTGGAGAACGGCCCCCAGAAGTGGACGTCACAGAGCCCCCCACCTCCGTTGTCCCTTTTCAAGTGACCCTCTGGTCCACACGCAAAACTTTCCCACCCGCTCAGGATATGCGAGCAATGTTCGTTGCATGACAGCGAAACCGATACTTGAATCCCAGAGATGCAAAAATACAATTTAAAGTGATCATTATTCTTTGTCCGTCATTAGTTGACCGGGTTCAGACCGCCACTTGTGAAGCCAGTTTTAATTACAGGCAGCTAGCTGAATGCAAACCCAGGATCTCAGCTGTACCAGCTGAGACCTGAGATCCTAGGTTCAAATTACTACAATCAGCACAATCGTCAGTCGTGATTATTATTATCTGTGTTTTCTTTGCAAATCTTTGATAGCCTTCAGGACGGCGTTGTTGTCTGGACTGGTCACCTGGCTCTTTCAGTGTTCCCTGGCTGCAGAGGACACACGATAGCATAATTGTGTCTGGAGGGCACGGGGCATCACGGTTCAAAACGTGGCCCTGTTCCAATGAGAAATTAGATCGTGCGCAGCGTGCCGTCCGACTTTCTCTCTCCCTGTGGCTCGTGTGAAATGCCGGCACTGTTTGGCCAATGTAGGTATGTACGTTGAACTTCTTTCGCACTGTACGTAGCCAACGGTGCTAATCAGGAGGTGCAGGTGGAGGACAACAAACTAAAGGCATAAACAACAAATCACACGAAGGTCGGAGTTTAGGGGTTCTCCCAGCTTCCACCGCAATGGGGGGAGCCACCACTGACGGAAACGGTCGCTGTGGGACATCCGAGCTGAGCCAGAACTGAGCGGTCACCGTACAGGTGAATTTCCACTGGCCATTTGCCGAGCCGAGCCGAGCCTATAATGAAATCGAGATACGCTGGCCTCGCGTGACATCTGAATCTGGCTTGGGGCCAAGCAGGGCCAGGGGCAGGGTTAATGATGCATTGGTTGCGTGTGACGTTGGCAGCATGGCTCGGCTTGTGCAGTGGAAAAACAAACCTGGTGGCTCCTGAGCTGGCTCGGCACGGCTTGGCTGTATGGTGGGAAAAAAAAAGTCTTGGTGGCTGTGACATTGAGGCCGGGTGGATCAGAGGTCAGAGCGTTGCACTGGCACCGCTAAGATCCTGGGTTCTAATCGTGATTTCAGCTGCCCGTCATTAAACCGGGTGTAGTGAGTATGTGGCCTCAGCCCAATCACAAATGAGTGCACACTACAAAAAACAAATCCATCGGTAAGTTTGATTCTGCACCAAATTTGGCTAAAATTCCAGGTCTGAGTGTTAAACGGTGAGGTTTGACACTTTGATCACGCCGCTCAAAGGGAGATCAGATCGGACGCCGCGTCTCGCGATCCGACATCGCGATCGTGATAAAATTAGAATAACGTCATTGGAACCTCATTTGCCAGTAAAAAATATGATAATTGTTTTTTTACCCTTATATCTGGCAACAAAACTGACACCTTTTTTACTAGGAGTAATGTTTGCATAGACCACAATACCTGCAGTCGTAATGCATCATCTGGTCCAACCCATGTGAGACTAGGCTCTAAGGAAAGCTGTCTCGGGTGTGGACCAATCAACTTCAAGGACAGTGCACATTATCAGAGTTATGTTTTTTGTTTGCATTCCGACTGCAGGTATTGTGGTCTATGCAAACATGACTCCTTGTAAAAAAGGTGTCAGTTTTGTTGCCAGATAGAAGGGTAAAAAACCAATTATCTTAGAATAACGTGTTTATACATATAAATATTCCTTTAAGTGGCCGCGACACCACAGCGACGCTCGCTCCGGGCTAGGTGGTGCATTGTTAGGCCACCCGCGGGGGAGTGGCAACAGCTCACCAGCAGAGATCGCAAATGGGTTTTGATTCCTTACCCGTACCCGGCCGCACCAGGGTCGCAAATGGGTACCCGTACTCGGCCGGGTACGGGTACCCGTTCCCTACCCGTACCCTACCCGAAATGAGTGACAAACAGTTACTCACCAGTGACTCACGGCCTACCCGTACCCGGCCGCACCAGGGTCACAAACGGCTACCCGTACCCATACCTGGCCGGGTACGGGTAGCCAGATATGGGGTAGGGTACGGGTATCGGGTACCCGGTTGCGACCTCTGCTCACCAGGCAGGTTGTCGCAGGGACGCAACGCTCGGCAAGTGTCGCTCACCCGAGTCGCGTCGTCGTCCTCGTCCGTGTCGTTGTGGGTGCCGAGCAGAGCGCAGCGTGCAAGAACTGAGGAGGGTGCTTCTGCTCATGCTGGGGTGTGCCGTGCAGGTGAGCTGCCCGCCCGCCCACCCGTCCACAACACGCCACCCTGAACTACACTATTCTTTGTTGCCATGAAGGGTAAAACCTATTGTTATTTTTCATCATTGTTGAAGCTTCAAATCAAGATTGTTGATACGGGCAGAAATGTCCCGTTGACATAAGGAGCCGTCCATAAATGATGTCACGCACCTGGGGGGGGGGAGGGTCAGACATTTGTGACGATGGGGGAGGGGGGGGGGTTGAGAAATGTGACGTCACATCAAAATGCGCAACTTCAAATAAATATAGACAACACGTTCTACTTAATTAAATAGACTTTTTAATAACTGTTTTCTCCTACAACATCAGAGTGCAGCGCCACATTAAATACGCACTACAATGACAATAGTTTAAAGCGATTTGAAGATTTGAAGCATTTTTTTTGGGGGGTGGGGGGGGGGGCAGAACTTTTTAACGTCATATTTGGAGGGGGGGGTCGGACTTTTTGCGACGCCGTGTGACGAAGGGGGGGGGGAGGGTCAAAAATCATCCAAAATCGCGTGACGTCATTTATGGACGGCCCCTAACTTGCTCGACCCAAGCTTTAAGTGCTCTCGTGCTTGCATTGTCTTTGTTGCTGTATTGTGGCGTCCTCTGGTCTAACACTGGTGGTGAGACTAGGCTCTAAAGGCCAATCGGTTTCAAAGACGACGCATCGATAATTATCAGAGCATGTTAGCTTGTTTGCATGTTCACCACAGGTACGTGTGGTTAATGCAGAATTGCTGCCTTGCAAAAGGTTTCTATTTGGTGGTTCAACATCTTGACACATGTTGTATTGCCAGAAAGGGTAAAATCTATTCTTATTTTTCATCATTTTTGATCCTGGCAAAAAGATATATATATATATATATAAAAAAAAATGTTTTACCAGGTAAGGCCCACTGAGCCGTAATAGCTCTTTTTGAGAAGCGTTGCACGTTCCAATCTGCCGTGTCGTAGTACCCACAGCAGCGTTCTTGTGCCCCCCGCAGTGCGAGAAGAAGGAGGCATTCATTGAAAAAATAACTCAGCTGGACCTGGAGACCCAGGCGGCGATCGTTAACCATATCAAGGAGGTAAGAGTTTGACGTTTAACCCTTGCGCGTCTCGCGTTTCCCCCTCTGTTCTGTCGCATCATACATAGCCGACCGTACTAATTGGAGATGTGCGTGGGGGGGGGGGGAATGGACAACAAACTAAAATACAAAAAGCAGTTCTTAAAGACAAAAACGCTCGGTGTGAGAAAAAAAAACACGTGTGCGTGCACGAATTCACGACGTCACTGCGTGTCGTTCGCGTCTCTCACCTCTATGCAGGTCACCCACAACCCTGAGAATGTCCTTGATCTGCACTGGGCAGATTCCAATGCTGCAGAAAGCCCCGATCTGCCGAGTCACAGCAGCCTGGCCAATCGCTTGCGAGGCGTCGTGGAGGAGAGAGACTCGTTTTCCCAGGTGAGATGGGAGGGGGGGGGGAATGAGAAATCTCTTCGATGCGCCGTGATTTTAAAAACTGCAACAGGCAGGCGGGACGGCCCTTCACTCGTAGGTCTCTCTGCAGAGCCTCTCTAAGGAAGCTTCCACGCTGGCCGCATGTCTTGGGAAAAACAGTGGGAGCACCCCCACGCATTACCCCCGCCCCCCCCACCGTGCATGGCCTGCCCATCGACCAACCGCGGTTGTGCATCAATTTGCGTACTGCACAAGGGGCGGTGGCGGCGCAGTTTAAGAAAAACTTGCACCGACGACTCCCGATGGGAGGTCGAACGGGCAAAGTCGAGTGCGCCGACCAGTTCGCACGACGGCAGCAGCAGCGTCCACGTACCACGTGCGTACGTCGGTTGCACGGTTGCACGGTTGCACGATCGCTTCTCCTCCCTCCCCGTAGACGGTTGTGGATCTGACGCTGGAGGTGGAGCGGCTCCGTGCCGCGCCAGAGCCACCCGCGGCGTCGGTTGGCAACGGGGTGGCTGCGGATCCGCCCGGCTCCGCCGCGAACCACTGGGACAAGCACGGCAGCCCCGCCGACAAGGCCGCCGCGAGTCCCGCGGAGAGCAACTTCAAGCTGCGGCGGGCGCAGCAGGAGTTGTGAGCGCATTTCTGAAACGTCCCTATGTTTAAAACCATCGTCGTCAACATCGGCCAAATCCACTGCCAACTGCCGCCATCTCTCGCGCTCTGCTGCGATATAATAATCCTCCAGGGCCAACCTGTGCAATAGCTGATTTCGTCGCTCCATCTCCGTCCGGCGGTTGTGCTCTTGGACAAATACTATTTACCTCATATTATTTTGAATCCTCACATCCTGTTATTTATAGTCGCGCACGCACTCGGCCCTCGTCAATCCACCACCCACAGTTAGCTTGGCAGGGCTTAATATCCTCGCAAGTACGGCCCGGGTCGCTGGATTACTTTTTACAATGCCACCCACAGTGGAGTGCCACGGTGGCTAGAAGATGTTAACTTCCTCGCCAGGTACACAGGAGGTTGTGGGTTAGATGTTGAGATGTTAACTACCTCGACAAGGTATACAGGAGGTCGTGGGTTCGATGTTGAGATGGTAACTACCTCCAAAAGGTATACAGGAGGTCGTGGGTTCGATGTTGAGATGTTAAGTACCTTGTTAGGTATACAGGAGGTCGTGGGTTTGATGTTGAGATGTTAACTACCTCGCCAGGTATGTAGGAGGTCGTGGGTTCGATCCCGACCCTGACGCCTGCTGCTGTATATTTGGAGTTTGCGTGTCTCTCTCCCCGTGGTCGCTTGGATTTTTCTCCGGGTCTTCCATTTTTTTTCCTCCACATTTGGAATATGAAAAGGGGTGTGACCTGGAGGAGGTTGTAATTGTGATGCCATGGTCAAGCTGGTTATGACCGCCGTGTAAGTTTTCGCAGTTGTGCTGTACACACTCTCCGGCGTGTTTTCGGGTTGTACCGCGCGATCTTTGGCGCCATGTCCGACGTTTTCGCTCCGCATGCTGAGAGCTTCTTCAGGAACATTCAGTTCCCGAAAGCATCGGGCATCGTGCGGAGCGGTCCTGCGGGAGAGCAACTCGTGACTGCGCAATCGCAAATGTCGTTTTTATATTTGACCTTCGTTTCGCTGGATTTAATTTGTTTCGGCTGCCTTTGGCAGCAGGATCTCACTCTGCCCGTTGACATCGGTTACATTTAGGTGTCACACAAATACAAGTTTATTAATGTCTGTTTATTTTAGCCACTACCGTTTCGCCTTCTATTACGGTTAACAAGCCTTTGCCAGACGCATCTCGTACGTATTTTTAGGGATCGCTCTCCACTTGATTGCAAATAAGACGTGTTCTATCCCTGTCGTGTTTTTTATATATTTGATTCTAAAACTAGCAGTTCACCGATGACCAAAATACCATGGAATGGGTACGCTCTCAGCAGATCTCGCAAACTAAGCGGGGTTTGAGCCTGGATAATTCGGCCGGATGTTACAGGCGCCATGCCGTGGGGTAATGAGCAGAAGAAAACAGCGTAGCGTACTGTACGTGTGTTGAACTTCTTTAGCACCTTACGTAGCCAACCGCGCTAATCGGAGGTGTGCTGGAACAACAACAAACGGCAGTCATCCATAATTGTGCGATACTTGTGTGCTTTCTCATCTTTGCTCATGCGCTGATTACACTGGTCAAAAAAAAAAATTCTGGCCTGGACTTTTGCAGCTGTTTTAGACTAATTTCAGGGTGCTGATTCCAAATCTGATCTTAGATTTGCTCTATCACATCATTTTTATGCTATCGGCATACCCCATTTTCATTGACTTTACCCGAAATTAACTCTGTCACTTATGATTGCAAGTTGTTGCGAGTCAGTGACTGCTTTAGTGTTAAAACATCGTGCTGTATTTTTAGAATAGTGTGTTTATAATATCAATTTATGTAGATATCCACATTCATTTAATATTTTTCTTCTGCAGTTTTTCTTGAAAATGCAATATTTGATATCTCAAAAACCTGATGTGATAGACAAAAACTGATGCCAGATTTGGAATCAGCACCCCAAAATTACATTCAAAACGTTGGAATACCTTATGCCAGAAAAAGTGTGTTGACCAGTGTTATATATAGATTGATATTCATCGCGTGGGCCATATGAAATGATGCAGTGGATCGTGTCTGGCTCACGGGCTAAAGGTTCCCTTATAGGTTTCACCACGCCTGTCGTCATGGTAAAACCCAGTGAGTGACACGTGACGGGTACCCCTTGCCACTCGCTCCCACACCCCACGTGCAGGGATGAGAAGAAAGAGGAGCTCACGGACGTGAAGCAAGATGTGCAGCGGCTGCACTCCGAGGTTCAGCGACTCCGCCACGAGGTTAGAGAGTCCATGGGATAACGCTGGGTACTTGCGGTCCCTCCCTCCCTCCCCGAGATTGATTGTGAGCGCACACGGTATAATTAGCCACCCAGCTCGAGGCCAAAGCTCCCTTTTGTGCTGCACAAAGCCGACCCAGTTTTGTGACGGCCAAGCTCGGGATCGTTTGTAACAACGTCAAGGTCACCCGTGGCGTGGCCATGGCCTCGATGCCGTGCTCGATGATATAATGCAACGCATCTTAAAATAGTAACGTCAAGTTTCGTGTAAAGTTTTATGCCTCGTGTAAAAGGTTGATAAAGGTGCAGCCCTGTAATTGCTTGCTCACCTTGCCGCTGGCGGAAGGGACCTCCGCTAGAGGATGCACTACATAGCCCTCCTCCAGAAGATGAACTTGGCCTACTCTTCCACACCGGCCAGACAACTTGGAAGAGGTGGAAGTGCCCAAGTTTTGCCCCACTGTACGCTGATGGACTAACTGCGGTGTTCCGGTTTATACTTCTGGTTGGACAAACGAGGGGTGGATTTCATAAACTTGTCTCCGTTTGTTTTCAACGACCGCTCCCAGGCGTTCGAATCGAACCGGCAGCCTCTGAATGTCGTCGTGATGAATTAAATCATCGTTGTTGCCACACCGCTTGAAACGCAATACTAAGAAGAAGCACAAAGGATGAGAAATGTGACATAATCGGCAAAAGCGTTCCCTCTTCCCTAAGTCCAGTGTGTGCTCGCTGTTACTCCGCGGAAGCGTCTCGCGGAACATAAACTCTAGGATTTACAAGACGTGACCCCCTGACCTCTCGTAAACTCGGCGACGGCTGCCGATGGTCAAGCGTGTGAGTGCGTGCGCGCGTGTGTTTGCGTGTGTTTGTGTGTGTGTGGGCCAACTGAAGGAGCCAGTGGTGTCGCGGTTAGCGCTACGCTGCACGACAAACCCGGCGACCTGAGTTGGATTCCCGCTCACGGCCAACAACAGTGACGATTATCTGAACCGGTCCTGGGCCTCCCCTAGGTCGATTCACACTCAAATGATTACCTGGCGCGATGTGTAAACATCGCCACTGGGGAGACAAAGGTGGCTGGGCGTGGTGCTGGCCACCCACCCCCTCGTGTGCCGTGCCGGCCTTCATAGGTGCTCGCTAACAGCACTTGCCCCAATAGTCCGTTCAGGCTACATGGGGGATCTTTGACTTTGGGCCAACTGCCAGTCATCTGAGTCAGTCAACCCATGGCACCTGCGCCTGTTTTGGTGATGTCCAATCAGCGACGAGATCCTTTGACACGTGGCCTCAAAGTGTTCTTAGACTGGCGCGGCAAGGCGCTGTAGTGATGTCACTGCAACATAGTGGCAAGCGGTGGCTGTGGCTGTCGTCGTTGTTGTTGTGCGTGGGCGCTCCACAGAACTCTCAACTTGTGTCGGAGGCGTGCTCGGCGCGTGCGTACCGCGATGAGTTGGATGCGGCGCACGAGCGAGCCGAGCGAGCGGAGCGGCTCTACGGGGAGGTGGGGCGACTCCGGGAACGGCTACGTGACGCCGACTTTTACAAGAGCCGGGTCGAGGTTAGCTCTCGTTCATTCGCTCGCTCGCTCGCTCATCCAGGCATTCGTTCGTCGGCTCGGTCGTTGTGAATGATGACTGCTTTGGTAGCCTACGAGCCAATCCAGGTGTGATCTTCTGGGTTGGGCCGCGTGTCGAGCAATTCCATTCTCGAGCTTTCATTGCCGCGCTCTACTGCAGGCGCGCAACGACAGAAGCTTGAAGCAATTTATTTTCTTTCTTTGTTTCTCAAAACGTGGCCCAACGTGGAAAATCGCACTTGGATCACGAGTGGCGGCGAAAACTTGCGTGCTCTGCCTACGACCAAGTCGTAGGCAGAGCACGCAGATCATCGGATCTTAGAAGCCAGGCAGCCTGGCTATCGAGTGCGTGCAGGCACGATGCAACTGCATCGGGATCCACGGGGCCAGAGACTCGGGAAAAATGTTCATCATCGCTTGGAAATGAAACTGCATTTTTTTTATTCTCACAGCTGACAAATTAAGGTTAACCCAAAAGTTAATGCGATGATTCTAGATTTGAAGCTTTCGTGACTGCAAGGATCCATATTTTTAGGTTTTTTCGGTAAAGTCACGTAGGTAAAAAAAAATTAAAATTAAAATTAATAAAAGTAAAATAAAAATAAAATAAAAATCACGACGTTTCGGAGGCAGCACAAGCTTCCGTCTTCAGGTGGAATAGTCACAGCACGATAGCTGTATCAAGTGTTTTTATTTTACTTTTATTAATTTAAATTTTTTTACCTACATGACTTTACTGAAAAAACTTAAGAATTTTAATGCAATGAGTTTTCTTTTTTTCTGTGTGGCGAACAGGCTGAGGCCATCACCTCCGCTACACTTCGGAACCAATTTTATTCGAATGCGGCGACCTCAGCCGTGCCAGCTCAGTGCTCTGACCTCCTTAGCCACCGACCCCCCACCCCAAATTCACTTGGTGATGCTTCCGCCTTTCACTTGGGTGCTCGTCGCAGGAACTGCGGGAGGACAACGCTCTTCTGCTGGAGGCCAAGGCGCTCCTGGAGGAGAAGGTGGAGGCGGGGAAGGCGCTTGCAGTTCGCCAGCACGAGCTGGAGCGCGACAACGCAGCTCTGAGCGCGCGTCTGCTCCACATGGAGACGGTACGCGTGCGTGCGTGCGTGCGTGTGCTGTATTGATACATCGACTCGAATGAGCAGCTGGTGTGGCGTGTAAAAACCATCGCCACTGGGGAGACAAAGGCGGCCGTGCGGGGTGCTGGCCACCCACCCACCCCCTTCGTGTGCCGTGCCGGCCTTCATAGGTGCTCGCTGACAGAAATTGCCCCAACAGTCTGTTCAGGATACAATGGGGGGTCTTTGTCTTTGCTGTATTGATATCCGTGTAATACATGTGATTATCGTACATATGATCATATCAGCCTATGAGGATGGAATTTATCTCTTCAAGGGAGACGTTTTTTTGGCTGTCGAGGTGTGTGCGAGGGTAATTCAAGTCATTCCCAGACTCGTTCACACGAGAAGAGAGTTTTAATTCCAGGATCGTGACAGCTCTCACAAAGTCTTCAGCATGTCTTTCTACAGTACCGCACTTGTGTACTATTCCGGTCCTGGGCCTCCGCTACGCTGCGGTGTGTAAACACATCAGCACTGGGGGGAGACAAAGACAGACAGGCGGGCGTGCTGCTGGCCACCCGACCCGGCCTTCACAGGCGCTCACTAAACACCACTTGCCCCAACACTCTCATGAAGGCCACGTGGGGCATCTTTGCCTCTGTCCTACAGGAGCGCGAGGAGGAGCGACACCGGCTGGAGGAGCTGACGCAGGACCACCTGGCGCTCGAGTCTGCCCAGCGCCGGAGTCTCAACGAGACTGCGCACCTCGGGGCCGAGCTGGAACGGCTGACTCACGCCAGCGGTCTCACTTGTACGCCCCCCCCCCCCCTCCCACTGACCGTTTGTAGCAGAGGGGTGCGGGAACGTTTTTTTGTTGTGGCAAGTGGGCGAGCGACAGCGCGTTCGTAAAACAGTTGTACCGTGTGGCTCGGCGGGAGAGCGAGTGGCTCGCAGGGGGAAGTTTTGCAAGTTGAAATTTCTGGGTGGGATAATTGACTCGACCCATCATCTCTCCAGGGTCGATAAAGTCGAGTACCGTATTGCGGGGAAGTCGACAGTGTTTTTGTCTATGGATGGACGCACCCCTACCATGACTCGGGGCTGTTAACAGGAGATGACTGCCGACTCAATGCTCACTTGAACAGGAAATCACTTGGACTTTGTATTGTATCATTCAGCCAGTGTTACGGATAGAGGTGAATGAATCATGGACAAACCTAAACGGGGAATGACAAACCTTTATTTGGCAGCTGGCAAGCGTACCGCAGCACAGTTGAAGTATTTGCTGGAGTTGGTTCAAGGCCCACGCGCAAAAGCAATGGTAAATGGCTCTGAAAATGACTGATTACAAATGCCAGTGGTAATGAATTTACAATCATTTACCGTGCGCCGTGCAGAGCTGTAGATTAAGGTTCGTGAGCCGCATTTTAATGCCTCATTATTTGTGTGGGGGCGTTGTGGTGGTGAGATGTTAGCTACCTTGCCTGGTATACAGGAGGTCGTGGGTTCGATCCCAACCCTAACGCCGGTATATTTGGAGTTTGCGTGTCTCTCTCCCCATTGTTGCGTGGATTTTTCTCCGGGTCCGCCGGTTTTTCCCTTCACCATTAGAATCAACGTGCGTTTAGAGTATTTGGCTGCCATAAATTTCCACGCGATAAGCCACTTCGTTGAGCTATCATTTGTGATAGCCAGGTCGCTTCTAAAAAGATCTACGTAGCTCAGTGGGCCTTACCTGGTAAAATAAAAAGTATCTATAGTTTTTAAATAGATACGGGCGGGCGCAGCGATGGCACGGCGCTTAGCGCACCTCGCTTTGAACCCGGTGCCCGGAGTTTCGACGCTACTTGACCGCTTGTGCGGTACAAAGCCAGCCCAGTTTACCACGGCCGAGCCAGGAATCGTTTTGTTCGTGTCAAAGGTCACTGTGGTGTGGCTGCGGCATCAATGCCGTGCTCGGTGACGCGATGCCGGGCCAAATAGTAGCACGGCTTGTGTCTGATATAAAGTCGGCTATACATCAGAATTAGAATATTTATTTAGACTGGAGGAATCCGATGAGCTATTAAGCTCTTTTTCTCATCTGGATTAGAACCCAGGATGTCAGCAGTGTTACTGCCAATAACATACCTATATACAGTGAAACCTTGGATTGCGAGTAACTTGGCCTACGAGTGTTTTGCAAGACGAGCAATTTTTTAAAATAAATATTAATTTGATAAACGAGCGATGTCTTGCAATACGAGTACTGTAGTACTTACAGTATACGCTTTGTCTGCCGAGCATCACGTGATCACAACTGAGCCGATGGTTCTTCTCTCGCTCTCGCTGCGGGATTGTGGGTAATCGTCTCCCATGCTCGGTCTCTGTCGGCGTGCCTCACTCGTATAGTCAACATCCGTGCGAGCGTAGACTGTTTACTATAGTGTTGTGACCACGTGTGTGTGCGTAAAGCATTTTTTTATTTTGTGTCCAAGTGTAGTGACTGTTATAGTAATAGGTTTTTACCCTTTCAACTGGTACAAAAACGGAAACCTTTATACAAGGCATCATGTTTGCAATAACCACAACACAAGCAGTCAAAATGCAAGTTGAAAGGGTAAAAACCTATTACTATATTTTGCCACCGGTAAAGGAGGTCTCATAGTGTAGTGGCTGTTCTTTAGTAACTGTACGGCAAGTGAAAGTCGTCATACACAATAACCCTCCTCTCCTCTCTTTCGTCTCCCTCACACCAGCCACGATTGAATGTAATTAATAAATTTGATGACTTTATATTAAATTTAAATAAGAAAAATATAAAAAAGGTTTTTTGTATTAATCATTTTTATAAGAATACAGTATTTTTGGGTTGTGGAACGAATCATCCGAGTTTCCACGATTTCTTATGGGGAAATTCGCTTTGATATACGAGTGCTTTGGATTACAAACACGTTTCCGGAACGAATTATGCTCGCAATCCAAGGTTTTACTGTATACGTGTGGATGTGCTTTGGATATTCTACACGTGAGCACGTCTGTCTCTGGGTGCGCGTGCACGCACAGCCACGCCGAACTCGCTGAGCGTGGAGGTGAACGAGTCGGCCTCGCGGCAGCTGCTGCGCATGGAGCGGGAGAACCTGGCCCTGCACCGCTCCGTGCAGGAGCTGAGCGCGCAAGTGAGTGGGGGGAGCCCATCTTTTTTTTACCTTCCCCTCTCTATCGTCCCGTCTTTTCCGCGGCGTGACGGTGAGCGCTGGGCAGAGGTCGCAAACGGGTTTTGATTCCTTGCCCGTACCTGGCCGCACCAGGGTCGCAAACGGGTACCCGTACCCGGCCGGGTACGGGTAGCCGGGTATCGGGTAGGGTACGGGTATCTGGTACCCGGTTGCGACCTCTGGCGCTGGGTGCATCGCCCCCGCGATCCAAGAGGGTCGTGTTCCTGGCAAGGCCGTTGGTCGGTTGCAGTGGGGGGCGGTGACGTTTTTCCTCTTGGCAGCAGCTCTGTTCGCGAGTGAGGGTGACAACCTGAAGAGGACAACCCCCCCCCCCCCCCTCCACATTCGCTTTGACTTACGATCACGTTCTCACTTACGACATTTGTGGCCATGACTCGAATCGTAGCCTGCCGCATTTAAGATAAATTTTCTCAGTATTTTTGGCAGAACAAAAACGCGTGCCCAAGTCTCCTTTGCCCAACATATTGATTGCCCATTATTGACGTCATCATCGCCTCCGATGAGCACGGTTGGCTACGTACGGCGTGAAAGAAACTCGACGTGCGTACACAATTGCCAAAAACAACGCGTTTCAAGCGTCTCTTCGAGATGGGAACTCTGACCCCTAACCTCGACCCTGGCTTCGTTGAACAACCGCAGCTGCAGAGCGCTCAGGAAGAAGCGCAGAGGCAGCGGTCGGTGGCGACGCTTCACGGCGGTGGAGAGGAGGTGGCCGGCGTGGCGGGGCGGCACAACGGCTACGACGACGGTGGTGGCGGTGGCGGTGACGTCACGGCCGCCCGCAGAGCTGCCCCCTCCTTCTCCATCCTGGACGAGAAGTTGGAGGAGCTGGAGCGCGAGAACGAGCGGCTCGCCGCCGAGAACGCACGGCTGAGCCGCGGGCAGGGCTGCGCGCAGGTGGGCACGTTGGCACCTCGCGATCGCCGTCGTCGTTGTCCTTGTCAACGTCATCATCGTTGACGTCATCGGCATCATTGTCTTCGTCATTGTAGTCATCTTGTTTTTGTCGTCATCGTCATCATCATTGAAGTCACTGGCGTCATTGTCGTCATCTTAGTCCTCTTTTATTTGTCATCGTCATCAACGTCATCATCATTGACGTCATCGGCATCATTGTTATTGTCATCATCGTAGTCATCTCGTCTTTGCCATTGTCGTCATGGTCGTCATCGTCGTCATCGTCGTCGTAGCGTTCATGGAAATGTGAATAATATTCATGAAATTACTTCATAATGTGTCGCGTCAGGGTTTTTTCTGTTCGTCATCCAGTTTCAATAATAAATTAGTCATTTTTAACTATTGTCCACACTTGCTTACAACCTTTTTTTTAATATGAGTTCATGAGTGTTGCTGCGTCAATTGTATACGATGCAGGAGTAGAATATGCTTGCTCGCCCAGTTGAAAGGATAAACAATCTTTATGCAAAATATTGTGAGTTCATGAATAATTTTTTATACAACATTATTTTACGTACTGCCATGGGCCCGTTGTATACAGCAAATGCACTGCCACTCTGCAGCCCAATGTAATTTCACAACAAAATGTCACCCCCTCCGCAGAAGCTGGAGTTTACGACAGAGATCCGCAGAGCGCAGCAGCAGCAGCAGGAGGCTACACAGCTGGTGAGGAGCCAGCATGAGCAGCAGCAGCAGCAGCAGCTGAAGCTGAGGCTGCAGGAGGTGGAGACGCTGAGCGAGCGCTTGCGGCAAGAGAACGAGAAGCTGCAGCGCAGCTTCGGCCTCCTTCAGGTGAGCTCCTTCGCCGTTCTCTCTCCGTCTTGGCCCTCGGCCGCGTGAGTTCACGGCGGGCAAAGAGAGGTTTGTTTTCAAGTCCCCATCGCCATCGTTCGCAAGAGGCTGCCATTGTGTGCCGGCGTCGGGGGTCCATGGTCACTGGGTGGAATTTCTCAACTCCCACCGCCCTCCCAGTGTGAAAAATTGTCGCGCTTCACTTTGGGCGAAGAAGTTTTTTGTGATCTTTATCGGGTATTTAATGCCTGAAATTAAGCGGAGAGTTTTTATCGTCATCACCACCAGCTGTGGTCATTCTACTGTTGGATGAAGACATCGCCACCATAGCTGCTACCACGTGAACAAAACAAAAAACTTGAGATTTAGGATCTCAACTTTTTGGAAACTGTGTGGAAAGTTCGTACCGTACCTGCTACCTGTGATCGTAACGGAAGGCGTTACAGCAACTCTGGTGCGAGTGGGTCAACGTTTTTCCCTTTTGATTGAAACCCTAAACACCCATCTGCTGCTCGGGTTGATGGGATTGGCTAACAAGCAACAATTTGAACGATACTCAACGAACTAGACACCAAAACATGTTTTTGTTGAATTGCAATCCTAAATTGCAACATGTATAATTGATTTGAAGCTTTCATGACTGCAGGAATCCATACTCTTTGGTTCTTTCGGTAAAGTCACGTAGGTAGAAAATCAAATCAAATAAATCACGACGTTTCGGGCACTTGTGTTGCACCTGAAACGTTGTGATTTCTTTTATTTTAAACCTTTGTGACTTTACCGAAAGACCCAAAGAGTATGGATAACTGGGTGGAATTATTATTGTTATCACAATGACACTGCATGCTTACCTCCACCCCTGCGGACGCATCCGACGCATCTCCTTAATTTTGCCGAGGAGGCGAGGGAAGACCGAGCGAAGGTGGACCTGCGGCGGCTCGACGAAGTGGAGAGCGAGAATGCGAGGCTCCTGCAGCGAGCGCTGTCCGACAAGCTGTCCCTGGCCATGCTGCAGGAGGTGAGAGGGGGGTGGTGGCACCCACACGGCCGTCACGTGGGATCCAATCACGCCGCACCCTACACCGCTGTCCAGTTCACCTTCACGGCGCACGGCCCTTTGTTGATCGATCCACTCGCCAGTTAAACTAAAACCAAACTTTAAAGTAACTTTTTTTTACTACCAGGTAAGGCCCACGGAGCTATGGACAGCTCCTTTTTGCTCAGGAGCGACCTGGCCACGAATTATAGCTCGGCGAAAGTGGATTATCACGCGGACGCTTACGGCAGCCAAATAATCTTAAACGCGTGTTGCTAAATGTGGAGGGGGAAAAAAAGCGGAGGATCCGGAGAAAAATCCACGTGACCACGTGGAGAACGTGCAAACTCCAAATATACGGGCGTTAGGGTCAGAATTGAACCCACGACCTTCTGCATACCGGGAAAAGGAGATAACATCTCGCCACCACGGCGCCCTGAATTGCAACAAAACCAGAAATACCTGGAGAAAACCCACGTCTAACCGTGGGCCATAGATATAAAGATCATCATTAGAGCACAATAGCAGGAATTTGGCCTTAGTCTTCCACGCTGGCCAGTGGAATAGGTGGAGGGCCCACACTTTGCCTCACCACACGGGACCTGACGATCAAATAACTGCGGTGTACAATTTATACTGCTGGGTGGATGGCGGCGTCGGGATTTAAGAAACCTGCACCATTTTTAAATCCTTTATATTAAGTTCGCTTGCTTGCTTGCTTGCGTGCTTGCTTACGACCGTGCAAATCTTTCGGTCGTTTTTTAACACACTTCCCGTGATCCAATCGAGCTGAAATTTGGCACACAGACTCGTTGTGCGTGACAATTAATTTTCGTGATATTTTTTTCTCCAAAATTTTACACTGTTTAGGGAATTTTTAAAAAATATTTAATTACCAATTGCTTAATGCTGGCAGACAATCATCTGACCCATTGGTGGCAGCCATCTCAAGCCAGAGGACGAGAGGACTCTAGCCGCCACGCATATAAAGGATTTATAGTGAAAAACTTTGTTTTTACGGGTTATACTTGTTACAACTGCTGCACCGGGACATAGACTCAAAGCGAGGACCTCTGGATTGCAAGAGTCCAATGCATTCGTGATTCACCACAGCAGCGTCCCACGATTCGGATGGCGAAACTAAATTTAGGTTTGATGGTGTTGCTCACCAATTTTCTAAGGACTGTGTGCGAGCTGTGAAAATGCGTTTGGCATCCGAGTCGTCGCACTGCGATTCAGACTTCACCTTGCTTTGCGCTTCGTAACCACCACCACCGCCGCCGCCGTCTCCGCTCCGCAGGAGCTGTCGCAGGAGCGGACGAGGGCCGGCCGCGTGAGAGAGGAGCTGGGCGAGCTGCGGGAGGAGATGGAGAACTCGACGACGATGGTCGGCTCCCTGGAGCCCGGTCGCGTCGACGGCCGCCTGGGCAACTCTCTCCACCACTCGCCCTCGCCAGGCAGCGGCGGCGGCCACCCCACGTGAGTGTCTAGGGCGGTGGCAGCGGTGGTCGCGGTGTGGTTGGCACGGCCCCTTTTACGACGGATTAAATACTATCCCCCATTACGCATCGTGTAGTATTCCCCCTACTGCCTTTTGTAGCCTGGTGCCTGCACCCCCTCCAGGCTGTGATTTCCCCGGTGCACCGGCTGCCCACTGGATACCTACGCAAGCTGTCCAAAGTGGCAAGCTCACCGCAGTGTCCTGGCACAAGCAGCAGCAGCAGAATGATAATGAGTTATGAACGCTTTCCAAGTAAAGTTGGAAAGCGATAACGCATGATCCCTGTCCGTCTATTACAAATGCAGGGGCACGTTAGAGCACTCGTAAAGATGATCCAATATGAGCTTATCGTTCATATAAAGTTGGGTTGCTGTTTATTGAATTTACCCTTTATAGAATACTGGCCAATTTGAACAAAGGGTTTGCCCAAAATTTCGAGAAAAAAGGATTTGACTTGGCATTTCCACTTTACCAGCGAGGCGCACACACCTCTGCCCCTCTCCTCACCTCCCGCGTCATCTCCAACACCGTGTCACATCCTCTGTTGGTGTGGCTTGAAACGTATCAATATTATCGCAGCGGATAACCCTTGCGAACGGTGTTGCCCTCGGGTCCTAACGTTCTCTTTGCTGCGAACAAAATTGTCGAGCGAGCGAAGCGACCTTACTCAAACTAGACCGGCGGCAAATCACGTCCGCAAGATGCCGATTGCGTATGGATGACGACGATTTACCCCGCGCTTGCAGCTCGCACGAAACCTGCAGGAAGGCTCTGGAAGGCAAGGCGGAGCAGATTTCCATCCTAGAGACTCAGCTCGAGGAGTCGATGGTTCTCAACACCCTCCTGCAGGAGGAGCTGCAGAACGTGAGTCCAGCGGCTCAGGCTCGTGGCGAGACGCAGATGCATTCTTCCGCGATTGTGCTATCGGTGCCGTTACCCTAGATCGGTGCTCGTCACTAATTTTCAGAGGGGGGGCCACTTTTGCCGAGAAGACATCAGCGATGTGAGGGCTGCCAGAAATTCCACGCAGTGACCTTGGACCCCCGACGCCGGCACACAATGCGAACGATGGCGAGGGGGACTTGACACATTTGTCTATTGTCGGGGGCCGCACGTCAGGGGCCGCACTAAAGGCCACCAGGGACCGCCAGTGGCCCGCGGGCCTTGCAATGATGAACGCTGCCCTGGCCAACGGGATCCATTCCAGAATTGAACAGCGAGCCTGAATTTTGACGATCGCTCGAATTGCTTAAGAGTCGAATCATTACAGGCCCGAGGCACGTGAGCGGTCGCGTTATTTTATGTTCCTTCTTTAAATCACTGCTCGATTGTTCTTTTGTCAAAAGAAAATCTCCACAATTGTATAACGATTTGTACCATCCGATCGAATAGAAACGGCTCATGGGGAAGCAGATACCACAGAGACAGCTCCTGAGTGTCCGGTCCACTCAGCAGGGAGAAGCACTTTCCCATTGGATGAGAGTCAAACCGATATCTACTTTTTAAGTCTCGGAGCTGGAAGTTGGCCCAACTAGTCTCCTTCCACAGGTTGTCATTTAGTTAACGTCAACCTTGTGGAATTTTAGTGCAGTCTTTTTCTGTGTTTTTAAAAAAATTTAACTTTATTTTCATCCCTAAATGAATTTCACAGACCCTTAAGACTCGACTAAAGCTTGTGTTTTCTCTGGGTGCTCCAGTTTCCTCCCGCGTATGTAAACACACGTGCATTGGCTGAAAAACATCTTTAATATACAGAGGACTGCAGAGCTTGGGCAATTGTTGGGAGCACCGCTGAAGTCCAGCTCGTCTGTGCTTCCTCATGAAGCAATTTGCATGAACGACAACGCTATATATAAAAAACTAAAACGTAAAAATTCCACAAGATGTCGTCCACTAGACCAAGACTGAATAGACTAAAATCCTTACTACATTAACACTGTACAGAATTAGAATAATCTTGTTGTGTAAGGTGCCTATCGAAATATCTCCGAGCGCTGTACTTAAAAAGAAAACTACGCTCACAAGTATGGATAAAATCTAATAGAAATACAGTAAAAGCCAACAACACTAAAAACGACAATTAGCACGTGTCTCTACGATGAAACATGCGCAGCCCTTTGTGACGTGGCGTGTGCTCGTGGGGCGCGTGCGTCTTTGCGCATCAGGTGATGAGAAATCGTGAAGAATCGATCCAGCAGCCGATGGGCAGTTCTTTCACCGCCCCGGAGAGGTCAAGTGGTGACCTCCTGGCCGAGGTCGCGACCTTGCGCGAGCGGACGGTCACCCTGGAGGCCGAGAACATGAAGCTGCAGGTGCCGTTTCCATCCGACGTGGGTTGTAATCGCCGTCATTAGCGTGGGCCGTGGTCTTTCCACTGCTCCACGACGGTCTTGCCACGCTGCCGTTATCTCTGGTGGTTCCGGGTGGTGACAATCCTTTTAATTAAATTTCGATTTAAAGCTTTCGTGACTGCAGGGATTCATCTTCTTGGTTCTTTCGGTAAAGTCACGTAGAAGGGAAATAATAAAATAATAAAAATATAATAATTCTCACGACGTTTCGGCCACAACGCGAGCAGCTGTCCTCAGGTGAAGACCAGGTCTGTCGGGGGACGGCTGCTTGCGTTGTGGCCGAAACGTCGTGATAATTATTTTATTATGTTTTATTTTTATTATTTATTACTTCCCTTCTTCGTGACTTTTCCGAAAGAACCTAGAAGATGATTCCTTTTCATTCTTTTGCTGGACTTACAATCGTCCTCATCATCATGAGCCATGGGCTATCCACTGCTGGATGAAGGACGAACAACGCCGTCGCCGTTCGTCACGTCATGCCCCTTTGTGACGCCATCCCGTTGTGCAGCTTTGAACGTTACGTAATTGCCGCTAATTAAACCCTTCCGAGGATGAACGCATTTTGGAAAGCGTTACAGAATCCATGCGTGCGCATGGTTTTTCTCCTTTGTTGTTAAATTCCCATTATGGCAGGAGGGAGCATGCCAGAAATGATTTCCCGGCGTGGCAGTTAAAACAATCGGGCAAGTACAGTGCCGGATTAAGCTAGTGCGGGGCCTGTAGCATATGTTATAATGGGGCCCTAAATAAAAAAACACACACATTTTTTACTTGCATAGTAAAGTAATTGTATTTTTTTATTTGCTATACAGCCATATAATACGACAAATCGCTAACCTTAAACACCCAGTCAGTTCATGAAAGTTCAAGGCGGTATAGTACTATAGTAATAGAGGCAAGTGCAGAATCACTGAACCGGAATTGATGGCTTGAAAGCATTTAGCACGGGGCCCTTGAAAGTGCGCGGCCCGTAGCTACTACATATGTAGCTACTTTTGCTACTACGATAATGCGGCATTGGACAACTATCGGAAAGTACCCCCCATGCCACCGCCTCTGTTCCACCCAGCAGTATAAATGGGTAACATCAGAGTTAGTCAATCAGCAGGGTGCGTGTGCGATGGCGTAAGTTGTGGGCACTCGCCCGCCCCTCTTCCATCGGCACGTCTGGCCGACGTGGAAGGGTAGAAGGTACAACGCAAGTTACGTTTATCTCGCGTCGAAATGCAAACGCGCGTCCAGACGCTTTCACATGGAACATAAAAAACAACTTGAGCTCTGTGCGCAGTGAAAACAAATGGGTCGTAAGTGTTAGGCTTGAACAATGGCAGAGTCTCAAACCGTACGAAGTTCAAAGGGAGAATAGAATTATGGCCAGCTGGGAGCAGCAGCCAAGAAGGAGCAACCCCCCCCCCCCCCATGGGAATGAATGTTGATGACTGGGATTTGTGAGAAGGAGGCCTTAATTGCTGCTCCTGCTGCTGCTGTAACATCAAACGAGCGAGGAGAGGCAGGCAGGGACAAGACCACGGACGATCTTGAAACACAGCCGCTGCAAATCGGAGGGTATCTGCAAATCACATACCCTCCAGCTCTTCCGCCAGCAGTGAAGCGGCGCGGGCGATTGCAAGGCCGCACCTTCGCATTTCTTTCTTTTCTCCCAGGAGGAGAGCGGTCCCGCGTTGACGCGCGCGGCCATGCTGACGGCGGCAGCTGCAGCGCTCGGGCCAGCGCTCGACGCAGCTGGAGCTGCGTGCCGAGCGAGCCGAGCTGGCGCTGGCCGAGGCGCGGCGCGACGTCGAGGAGGCGCGGCGAGCGCGCGAAGTCGCGGAGACGGAGTCGCGGGCGCTCGCTGGGCTGGAGGCGCGCATGGAGGAGGAGTTCCGCGAGGTGCTCGCTGCACGGCAGCAGCTGCAGGCGGCGTACCTCCGACTCGAGGAGCACAGCCACGGGCTGGAGCAGAGGTGGCCGATGACTCCCTCCTCGCTCCAACCTCCTCGCTCCTCCTGCCTCCTCCCTCCCTGTCTGTCTCCCTCCCTCCTTCTCCTCCCTCTCTGCCTCCCTGCCTACCTGCCTGCCTGCCTACCTCCCTCCTCCAGCTTCTGTGCTTGACCCCCCTGCCCCTGATAATTGTTTTTTTACCCTTTTATCTGGCAACAAAACTGCCACCTTTTTAAATCCTTTATATTAAGTTCACTTGCTTGCTTGCGCGCTTACGACCGTGCAAATCTTTCGGTCGTTTATTAACCCATTCCCGTGATCCAATCGAGCTGACATTTTGCACACAGATTCGTTGTGCGTGACAATTTATTTTTGTGGAAAAAAAATTCCAAAATTTTCCACTTTTTAGGAATTTTTTTTCTTCATATTTAATTAAAAAACCAATGTGATAAAAATGCAAATCTTACTCAAGAAAAACAGAAATGAATAATACAATAAACCGATGCCACCCATATAAAGGATTTATAGTGAAAAACTTTGTTTTTACGGGTTATTTTTTTTTACCCTTTTATCTGGCCACAATACCTGCAGTCGGAATGCAAACAAAAGTGCATACATTATCAGAGTTATGTTTTTTGTTTGCATTCCGACTGCAGGTATTGTGGTCAATGCAAACATGACTCATTGTAAAAAAGGTGTGAGTTTTGTTGCCAGATAAAAGGGTAAAAAAACAATTATCATATTTTGTTACTGGCAAATGAGGTTCCAATCGTGTAAATGCTTTCCCCTGCTCCTGTTCAAGTCCAGCCTAGGGACTCGTTGTCTGTAAGATCAATATGTAGATCGTCTTGAGACGCAGTTTCATTCGGACGCTACGTAGATGCCAATGTTGTTGTCGTTCTGCCGCTGGTCTTCCTCGTCGTAGTTCACATTGAACCTCCTCCTCCTGCTCCTGTGTTGACCGTCGCAGCTTGGCGAAGGTTTCCGCTTGGGACCGCAAGGTCGACGTCCAGACGCCCGATCACCATCGCAACAAGGGTCGAGACGACGCGTCCTACCTCGATGGCAGCTCGATCATCAATGACAACAACCTCCCCAGGTATTATTGTGACCCGCCTAGGTCTGGCGGCTCTTGACCGATCGCTCGCTCGCTCGCTCTCTGTAGCTTTCTTTGTCCCAGCGGTTTTTTGTTCTGCAGTACTGGTGGGTACAATGTGGGAGAAAAAATTAATTCAACAGATTCATTAATAATACTGTGATCTGCAAAGGAAAAGTTTAGAATTGGCAACGTTTTGGGTCATGTCCCTTCTGCAGAGCACAACACTAGCGAGGCCGGAGAGATTGGAGTGAATGATAAGAGTTGGTGACTCGGAATCGGATTAATTATTGATGCTGGAGGAATCCGTTTTTCCAGATGTCCAGTATGGGCGGGTCAGAACGTTACACAACAACAAACAGCACAAAACACGATAGGAGTGCAAAGTTTCGGGGAGATAAAAAAATTACTTAAAAATAAATAGACAAATAAAACTAAACCATTTTTCATCTTACCAGGTAAAGCCCACTGAGCTATTAGTTTAGTTTCCAGAAGCGACCTGGCCACAAATGATAGCTCCACAAATTGGCTCATAATGTGGACTTTTATAGCAGCAAAATAATTCGCATAATCTAAATTCATGTTTACACCATTGGACCTGATGAGAATTACATTTAAAAAATGTTTTACAATAAACAGATTTTTTTTAATTTGCATATGAATACTTACTAATTAGTAGCTATTGAGTAATCAAACATGTGTGACTGCATTAACTCATTTCTGTTGAAAGTAAAAATGACAAAGTGTTGCTGGCACACCGGGGCACACCGAGATGGATGGCTTTGTGGTCTTGCTGCGTGCACGATTGACGAAGGCCGAGAGCCGCGTCGTTTCCGCCCCATCCCCACGCCCGGTTCTCTTCGCTTGAGAACCTCGTGGGTAGAGGAGGAGGAGGAGGACGCCGGGGGTGGTCCACAAGGCCTCACGGACAGTGGTTACATCCACTGCTTTGATGAATGGCCTCCCAAAGCCACCGGTATCGCCCCCGAACCTGCGATGCAATAATTCGTTTAGCGCCTGCAGGCTGGCCGATTTGAATTTGTTCCATCTGCTTGGTGGACTTATCTCTCCACCACGTTCCATCCATTGGCTGCCACTCCGTCACTGTTGTTGACCAGGAGGTCCATGATTCCTTCAAGCGACGAGTTCTGCCCAAGCCCCACCTTAACTTTTCCTAGCAGTTTGAATTAAGTCCGTTTCTTCTCGAAGCACGGTTGGCGACGTGCGGTTGCGAAAGAAGTTCAACATACATACAACATACATACAACATACATACACGTAAATGCATCTCTCCGTGCTGCTTCGAGCACTGTTCAGTCGTTCTAAAATCCATCGGTAACGACCGTGCCTCTGGGGACCGTATGACGTGGCAGGTCGACCGCGCTGATCGAAACTTTTCAAAAAATGTTCCTGCAGTGTGGACGGGCGTTTGGGCTGCGAGACGGCCGTCATGGACCAGTACACGTTCGTCGAGTCAGGGCAGGAGGTGAGGATAATGGGCCAGATTTGGGGGGTGGGGGTGGAGGGTGGGGATGATTTTATACTGCGGGGTGGACAACCGAGGTGGATGCACCAGGAGATCGATGACCTCTGGATTGCTAGTCCAGTGTGCTGACCAGAGGTCGCAATCGGGTACCCGATACACGTACCCTACCCAATACCCGGCTACCCGTAACCGGCCGGGTACGGGTAACCGTTTGCGACCTTGGTGCGGCCGGGTACGGGTAGACCGTGAGTCACTGGTGAGTCACCGTTTGTCACTCATTTCCCAACGTCTTGTCTCTTCTTACAATTCAAGTTCCTAGAATCAACCCACCCACGCCTGCAACATGGCTTCATCCCAGAGGTCGCAATCGGGTACCCGATACCCGTACCCTACCCGATACCCGGCTACTCGTACCCGGCCGGGTACGGGTAAGGAATCAAAACCCGTTTGCGACCTCTGGTGCTGACCCTTACACCACATGCAGCCTCTCCTGGTTTAAACGAGGAACATGTTGACCTGGGGGTGGAGCGTTGGAGCGGTGAAGCTATTTGCCTCAAGGTGCCTGTCGTCATTGTCTGCAGTATCGATGTTTTTGTTGCTTCTGCTGTGCTGACGCACGGCGGGGCAACTGGCACGTAGGGATCGCCTGTGTGACAAATCAATTAAACTCAAACGTTGTATCGTGATGAGAATTATCAGACTGACAGGGTCTCTCTCTGTCATTCACCAAGAGGAGGTGTCGGGGTACAAATTAAGCCAAATTCTAAAATTACATCGCAAATTACTCAGCTGGTATTACATGCAGACAGAAAGCATCGCCCCCTACCGGCAGACTAATGCCCCACGTCACTGTCGCAAAACGTGGCTTCTCCCGGTTGTTTCTCTTTGTGCCGATGTGAGTGTCTCTCTCTGTGTGTCTCTGTGTTATCTCTTTCTGCTTATGTGTCTGTCTATGTGTCTACGTGTCTGTGTTTTGTCTCTTTCTCAAATTTAGCAATCTTTGGAAGAATGTAATCAACCAGGTAGGGTGTTAACTGTTATGTTAGCTGACTCTCTGTGTTGTATTACATTATATTTCTATGTTTACTAGGTTTGTTTTCTTTTTCATTCGTACCTGATGATGATTGCTTGTGTTGCAATCGAAACGTCATATGCTATTATTTTAAAAAAAAATTTCTACATGACTTTACCGAAAGAACCAAAGAGTAATTCCTGCAGTCACAAAAGCTCCAAATCAAGTTTTCTCCCGGTCCGTCGAGTTCTCAGCCGGTTTAAACCAAACGTAACGTGCGAAACAAACTCTCGTCCTCAGGAAAGGGGTTGGAGCTGGCGGGTGGCTCACGAGCACGGTCAAAAAACTCATCAAACCCAAGAAGGAGGCGGAGAGGGAGAGAGAGAGGTCTGGCGACCACGGTGCAGAGGGGACCACCACCAGGGACGCGGACGGAATGCGCCATGGAACCGCGTCGAACTCCTCCAGCCCAGGTTCCAGTGCCATGGGTTCGTAAACAATTTTTATTACACATAATTACATGTGAAAGCTCTGTCTGTCTTTGTAACGGAACGGTGTGTTGCTGTTTGTGCGACTAACCCTGGAGAAAACCGGTGAAATTAGTCGACATTTCAACTTGTGATGCGCCCGCACAGTCTTTGCCCGCTCTCTCGAAGAGAGCGAGAGAATGACTCGGAGGCCCGAGGAACCAAGGGCAAGGCCGTGAGCCACCGCTGCCGCCACCAATAATTGCCCAAGCTCTGCAGTCCTCTGTATGTTAAGATGTTATCGGTCAATTCATGAGCGTTTACTTGTGGGAGGAAACCGGACCACTCGGAAAAAAACTCCATGCCAGTGAGGAGGGCAACACGACACCGTACAGATGGGACAGATGGAGCCCACATTTGCTGCACCGCCTTCTCCTGGCGAGCCAGGGTGTGTGGCTCCTCTTCGATGCCCAGGGGAAGGGGGAGCTTGTGTTGTGTGACCGCGCATTCACCCTGTTTTTGATGTTTTGCAGTAACGAAGGCCAATAATTCTGGCAGCATCCAGAAACAGGAGAACAGGAGCTACGTCGGAGGATCGTTCACTCGCAAAGGTATGTGTAGTGTAACAGCGCCGACTGGCGACCCCAAGTGGCAACTGTGGATTACAAACAGTCTGCGCGTAACGGACAGACAATATACACGGGAGCGTCAGCAGAGGGGCGGAACTGGGGCAAAGGTCATTGAGGCGATCCATCTGGGAGTCCCGAGAACCTGCCAGAGAGTTCCAGAAAGGGGGGCGTGGCCAGGGCGGAGCCGGGCCACGCAGGAAGGATAAAAGGGGGTGAGAATCTGGGCGGCTGTCCATGGGAATCGGGGTCGTCTCGCCGTGGAAATCGTCCTCGCTGCCATCCTTGTCATCGCCCGACGTCGCCACTGCTGGATAGTCGGCCAGCTCGCTGTCCAGTCAGCTAGCGCCATCGAGATTGACGGTCAGCGTTATGTGATGTGCTCGGTGAGTCGAGTAGAATAAATGAAGGTGCCTCTAGAGATATTGTCTCCGCAGTCCTGTATGTATGTTGAACTTCTTTCGCACAGTACGTAGCCAACCGTGCTAATTGGAGCTGCGGCAGATCTCGTCAAGTATTCTAAGCCAGGGTTGAGTCAGGATAGTGCTTGGATGGGCTGCCAGATTACGTGTTGGGGAGCAGAGGGCAGTGCAGCGAAATAGATTGTTGTACCGTACTTCTGTGATACCTCGACTTTTCTACTCCCGCCTGGGCAAGCATGGTTATGTAACCTCCATGACCCACAGTATCGAAGCACCCTCATCCAGTAATAGCTTGGCAAAAAAGCTGTACATGCGCATTGGCGAAGACGGGGATCGTAGAAGTATAGTACAACAACGGATGTTTCTGCACTGACTTCCGCTGCCCACCCACCTATCCTCACATCACTGCACTCCCTCCTACCCTTTATACATGTAATATTACGTACAGACATGTATGTTAACGTGTCATTCTTCTCGGAATGCGTTGTGGAAACGACGCCAACTCTTCGCGACAATTCAGACGACGCGCAGTCGAGCGGCAAGTGGAGCGCGAGTGGGGACGATCGGGGGGCTCCGAGGAAGGGAGGGGGCGGTGGTGGTCCGCCGCCCCCCCCCAACCCCACCGCCGAAGCGGAGCGTCCCGCAGACCGCAGCTCGGATCAGAGTCACCCCGTGAAGCGGAGCGCCTCCCTCTACATCCCCCGGGTGAGCAGGAGGAGGAGGAGGAGGGGAAGGAGGTGGTGGTGGAGGAGGAGGAGGGGAAGGAGGTGGTGGTGGTGGTGGAGGAGGAGGAGGGGAAGGTGGTGGAGGAGGAGGAGGGGAAGGTGGTGGAGGAGGAGGAGGGGAAGGTGGTGGAGGAGGAGGGGAAGGAGGTGGTGGAGGAGGAGGGGAAGGAGGTGGTGGTGGTGGTGGAGGAGGAGGAGGGGAAGGAGGTGGTGGTGGAGGAGGAGGAGGGGAAGGAGGTGGTGGTGGAGGGGAAGGAGGTGGTGGAGGAGGAGGAGGAGGGGAAGGAGGTGGTGGTGGTGGTGGTGGTGGAGGAGGAGGAGGGGAAGGTGGTGGAGGAGGAGGGGAAGGAGGTGGTGGAGGAGGAGGGGAAGGAGGTGGTGGTGGTGGTGGTGGAGGAGGAGGAGGGGAAGGAGGTGGTGGTGAAGGAGGAGGAGGAGGGGAAGGAGGTGGTGGTGGAGGGGAAGGAGGTGGTGGAGGAGGAGGAGGAGGGGAAGGAGGTGGTGGTGGTGGTGGTGGAGGAGGAGGAGGGGAAGGAGGTGGTGGAGGAGGGGAAGGAGGTGGTGGAGGAGGGGAAGGAGGTGGTGGAGGAGGAGGGGAAGGAGGTGGTGGAGGAGGAGGGGAAGGAGGTGGTGGTGGTGGTGGAGGAGGGGAAGGAGGTGGTGGTGGAGGAGGAGGGGAAGGAGGTGGTGGTGGAGGAGGAGGGGAAGGAGGTGGTGGTGGTGGTGGAGGAGGAGGAGGAGGCGAAGGAGGTGGTGGTGGAGGAGGGGGGAGGAGATTCTCCTCCTTGGGCAGGGGAGTTATCGACGATGACTCCCATGATGATGATCCAATGTGAGCGACTATTTAGTGTGGAGTTGTGTTGCTGTCAGGGCTAATACCCTTTAGAAAACAGGCCAAGGGTTTTCCACTCAAGCAGCCTAATTCCCTCTCTCCACGTTTGTTTTGTCCAATCTCTCCTCGCCTTCTAGCAAAGACTTGCGTCGCGCGGACAACCGCTGACCGGCAGTTTCCGCCAACCCACCCAGCACAGGAGCGGCACCGTGACAACATCAACGCCAACGGACGACCACCTTCACCACCCATCCCATCCCCCCTCCGACGTCCCCGACACGGAAGTTGCCGGCGGCTCTCCCGGCAACCACGGCTCGCTGCGGAGGCCCGACGACTCCGTTGCCAGCGCTCACCGCAACGCTTTGCCGCACGCCGGCACCACCGGCAGCCTGGGCCGCCCCCCGTCGGGCCCGCGTGGAAAACCTCAGCCGAGGACCTCAGCGGCGGCCGCGGTGGTGTCGGCAGCGGGAGCGAGCGCGCGCTGGTCCGTGTCGGGCGACGGCAGCGGCTGGAACAGGGCGACGCAGACGCTGGACCGTCCCCGTAGTCCCAACGCGGCTCACAGGCACCGGCTGTCACTGTCTCTGGCGGCGCCGCCGCCGCCGCCGCCGCAGCAACAGTCCAGGACCGGCTCCAACTCGTCGGCCTTCTTCTACGCGCCGCCGGCCGTGGCGCCACCGGAAGCGAAGTCTTCGGAGGCGCCGGACAGCGACCGCGCGAAGACGCCCCCCCCCAAAGGCGGCGGCAAATGCGCAGTCGACAAGCGGCAAGAGGGGAACCTGAGCGCGGAGGCGGCGGGGAACGGCGACGTTTCCCGCGCGGACGACAAAGCCGATTCGCCGCTGTCGTCGTCGGCCGAACAGACGGTGTGGTACGAGTACGGGTGCGCGTGACGGACGCCCGCGCCGTAGTTCGACGCGGACGCGCCCGCTCGAAAAACACCCCCCGCCCCCCTCCCGAGTCGTCTGGAAGCGATGCCGGCGATGCGGTGTACGGCATGCCGGAGATGCACGCTCGTGACCCCCATGCCGCGAGGATGGAGTGAATGTGGCCGCTCCGCCTTCGGAGACCTGTGTTGATGCAGCCGCCAGAGGCAATATTCGTGAAGACGAGTGGCACTCGCAATGCAACGTGCAACTGTGCGACTTCCACGCGGCCATCGCGTGGCCGAGCAAAGATTGTGGTATGAGCGTGGGGGCGCGCTACTTTTACCGTATTCTCCGTATTGTAAGGCTGTCCGGAAAGTAAGATGCACCCCAAACTTGTGCCTTGTTGTCAATCAAGTTATACAAATCTTGTCTTTATTATATATATAATCTGGAGAATGCGGTGACGTGAATGTGACTTCTTTAGAAAGCTGGCAATAATCGTGAAGATTCTTACTGACGATGCAATGTGCAGCTTTAGCGGAAGTTTGTAATTACATATCGCGGGTCTGCTGTTTTGTAGACACAATATTAGACGTTATTTTGTATGTTTTTAGTTTATGCAAAACAAAAATCTAAAACTCTTCCGAGTGTTGAAATGCAAATGTGATTTTTACCGAACGTGGCCTTGGTAAGCGTGTTTGTGGTATCTAATTCTATAGATTATTTTCTCATGCTGCTGCTGTTTAATGCCTATAGTTTTTACGTTGGAGAAATAATAAGAGAGGTGAGGTGACTCGAATTTGCAGTGGATTTATGTATTTTTTTTATTTAAAATATTTTAAAATGATTGAAGAACTTCCAATTTCAATTAACCTTTTGCTGGACGGTTCTAGAAGCTTGACAAGTGAAGGTGATGGGTTCGAAACAGCTCTGAAGTCATTTTTAGTCCATAGCCTTTCTTTTGCGTGGGATTTCGCAGTTGTGTTATTTTGGGTTGTGCCTGAAGAAGCTCCCAGGAAGTGGAAGTGAAACGTCGGACTTCATGCCAAACAACACGCGGTACAACATGAAATCACACCGGGAGATAGAAATAAGATGGTATAAAACGAGGCAATAAAAATATGTTTCCTTAAGTCAAATTATGAGCACACCAACTTAAAATATATTGAGTTGAGAGATGCTGGGACAGTGCATTGGAATGTTGTAACTACTTTAGTTCTGCTCAGCACAACTGGTGCAAATGTGTAAAATGTGATTTTGCATTTGAGTGTCTAGACAACACACGGCGATGATAAACCACGAGCTGGATATCAAATTACCGCTGGCTCGCTGAAGTTTCTAAGAATTGTGTTTCTCTGACAAAACATCAAGACGCTGCTGATTTTGTAGAGCTGGGCTGTGTGATCATCGAAGTAATCCCATTGCTTCAATAATTTCATCCTATTGCCGGTTCGATTACTACTCGAATCGGATAACGCTGAAATGATCGCAAAATATTGAGCCTCCCCTCTGTTCCCACGTGTGCCGCTGGATCGGAAGCAATGGGCGGGGCTTGGTGACATCATCGGCCTCGTCACGCTGGGCGTGGCTTGTAAGGGGTTTCCTGCCTTCAAGGAGGCAGGAGGATGTAGGACCGGGCACTGTTTTTAACGGGGCCATAATAATTCGCCACGAAAGATGATCACAATTTGTTTTGTATATCATGCAACTTAATCGACTAATTTTCCCAGCTCTACTGATTTGTCACCGTTCTTGATGATAACATGCATACTTTCTTCAGTTAATACCTTCCTTAAAATTGTATTTGTTAATCATGTCAAAAGTTTTCATTGCCATTTTCTCATCTGGCAAGGGCTACCTTTTATTGAGCTGGAATTAATTTAATAGAATTCTGGTCAACTGGATTAAGTTGACCGGAATTCAGTGCACATGTGAAGTAGTTACACTGTTTGGCAAACAATGCACTGTGCAGAAACCTGAGCAATCTGCGTGCCAGCCCGTTTATTGCCACCAGCCTTGAGAAAGTTAATATTTACCGAGTTCAAAGTCATGGCAGTGAAACTTGGGACTTTTTCTTGATCGATATCAAAGGTGAAAACTCCTCCATGGGATTTTATGACAAAACGAACATTTTGCTAATTTGATTCGATCTCTGTCCGTTACTGGCGTGGCATAAGACGATTTAAAAAGAATATATATTTGTTCGAAATCCCGCGCACAGCAGCGCCATCAGTCCGTGTGAGAGAGTGGCCCGCTGAAGGTGATATGGCAGAACTACGTTTGAGATTTCTTGAAGTGACCTTAGCCACGCTAGGGTTGCAGCACTTTCCACATACCCTGCTGCAGATGTTTGTCACATGGCGGTAAAACCCAACGTTTTTGTCAGAGCTGCCATAAGACAAATTAAGTGAAAACACAAATGTAATTGTGTGTTCTTTGCTAACACCATGAAGCCTACTCTGCACCTTGAGAATCAAGTTCAATCACGGCTGCCTGCCTGGGTTCAAACCCGGGATCTCAGCAGGGACGGCTCAGTCACTGACCTCTCAGTCACCGTCAGCTGCTTGTAACGATTTGATTCCTAAACATGCTATACATTATAAGTTTTGTAACCGCAAAAAAAATCCCAAACTATGTCTCTACATCATTTTGCCCCCCACTGTTCTGCTTCCGACACATTCACAAAAAAGTGCAATGAATATACCACGATAAGCAATATTTTCCAAAATGTCCTTTGCAGAAATTAAAGGGAAAATGTAATGCTGCCACTTTTCACTTTCTAATGTTGGTGGCTCGGCCGAGCTACTGCGGGTGGCTTCCGGTTCAGTTGAGGTGCGAGAGGTCAGACCTCGCTCAACGGCAGCCCATTCTGAAAACGCCGACTCAAGATTGTACGACATCATGCCGAGGGAAAATAGTTTTCATACGATCATAACTTTGACCTAAGTTTTAACTTTGCAATATCAGATATTTTCTTTCACATACACTTTATCTGAGTGTATGTTTGTTGGCAGTAATGTTACTCTCGTTGGAACTTATGGCAACGCTAATAACACTACTCTCTGTTCCAGTCATCCCCAATCTCTCTGCACCCCACGGTCAGTTACTTGTCAACCCTCAAAACATTCTCGCGGACGATCGTGCGCCAATAACATTTCAATGACATTTCACAATTAAAACTACTCTAAATCGTAATCCTATATCCTGGAAAAAATTCCGCGGGACCACTTCCTTGCAGCCCCGCGGCCTTGTGGGACTCACCGGGTTGGGAACCAGCTCTCTCGCTAATGTGCACACGTCTTCTGCGTGTCATCTTCCCGAGGAGTGCTGGATCATCGTCTTCCTGTGCGGTGGAATGGATGGAGCTGCTCTGTGAAATGTCGTTGAAGGCGTTGGCGTATCTACCAAATTGTGATGCTGTACGGTCAATTCGGTTTTTGCTCCTGTTATTTAAACTACCCATGCCTCTTTCCGACTCGTGTGTTTGTGTATCCTTTCGGTGGTCCAATTGAGATTAATAGTACCATACGTGTAACTTGAAAAGAGTTTTTTTTTATTTGCAAAAGTAGTAGTTTATTGATCTTTTTTTAATATACTGTAATACTATACGTTGAAAATGAGTGTTTGAGTTTTCTCTTGTGTCCTTGGTGAATACGATTCATGATCTTTTCATATCACAGTTGAAGGGATGTTGAGATACATTTTATTTGTTTCCTAGTTTTCACAGTGGGTATTTAACACTAATAAGAAGAAAACTTCGTACTAGAAGCAGTTTTTTTTATCAGAAATTGGCTTTGCGTAAATCAGACATTTATAATGCTGAGCTAGATGTTACTTTCCCGAAATAACTTTCCAACGTTGGTTAAAATTGCACAGGTATTAATTGAATGCATATCCAAATGCCAAGATATTTTTTTCCGATAAGATTACTTTATAATCAAAGAAGAGTGTGGGATATTTCTTTTGAAGATTATCAGGCTACAGTTTTCATGGGGTGTAAATTAATTGCATATCAGAAGAAACTGTTCATGTTGTGGACAATTTATTTTGCGTACAATTCTACAGAAAAACTACTGTCGGCAATTTGCCGACTGAAGAGAGGAGCAATAGGACGATGGACTGAAATGGATTCATAACATCACGGAATGGAGTGGTCACAAGACACCTTGTGTATGCCGCAGAAAAGTGGATGATGAATCGTTGGATTCATTGCCGAAAAACCTATTTCTAAAAGAGGCGCAAGACCAATTAAAAATAATATTGCGCATTTAACCGTTCACAGAATAATTCGATGTTGGGCTAGTTGGATATGAACATGTAGAAATAGGGTGGCGGCAGGTAATCCAACTATTCATCATCACGTGAACTCCGGTCATCCTCGCAGCGGCTTTTGGTTGGCCATTCAATAAAGACGGTGGTTACCGCATCGCTCGGCGCTTTCAAAATGCGCTTCTGCGGCTGTCTGGAACGAGTCTTCCTTCGGATATTCGGAAGCCACTGGAGCTATATGCACTTTTAAATCATCTCGATTGAAAACTCAATTCTTTAGAGCTGCTTTTTGTGTTTAGTTTGTTGTCCTTCCCCCGCGATTAGCACGGTTGGCTACGCTACGGGGCGAAAGACGTTCAACGTAAATGCATTCGTACGTACATTGAGTATTTTGTTGAGTGTCTTGTAGAATTGTACACGTGCTTAAAAAATGTACACATGGTGCCCTGTGAAACAAGGTCATGGATGCGTGGTAAAATCACCCGCATGAACCACAAGGTGTGGTGGGAGGCTTTCATCCAGCTGTGGATTGACAAAAGGGCTGTGCTTGCACATCCTGTGAGTTTTGCCAGGAAGCGAAAGTGTTTTTGTTCTTCCTGTGTAGTTCTACAGAAAAGCATAAAGACAGGATTTTGCGTGAACGTCCTCGCCCAAAAAGAGACTCCCACATAACACTGTACATGAGCAGAACTTCATTCTGTCTCCACGTATAAATAAAAAAAAACTAATTCTATTGGCCGATTTGCTTTCCAGACCAACATTATAAAGCTGCATTTGTTTAACAATTATGACAACTGAGTGAGCTTGCTTAAGCAAAGGATGCTCGATGGATATTGGCTGCTAAGCTGATGGGCTAAAACGCATTTTCATCTATGCAGACGTAGAATGGAATGTTTAAATTATTCCTTCACCGATAATGTTCAAAAGGAACGCATGAGATTGTGTACATCATAACAATGGGTCACATTTATCCGTTGCTAGTCAACAGGCCAGCTTTTTAACCATGATGCATCTCTCTGACCAATTTATATAGTGCATTTTGTCTATGACTAAATCACCCATAATGCTCCTGATCCCATCAGATTTTGGAAGCTAAGCAGGGGATTTGTTGACAGTGCTTGGATGGGTAAACATTGACTGGACCGCTTTTAGAGTTGGTCTCGTTGCTGAAGCAGAGAACTCGTAACGGGTGAGATGAGAGGTAGGAGAGTGCATGAAGGGGGAGTGAGATGAGAGATATAGGATGCGCAGAGTGGAGCAGATTAAATTGACAGTGCGTGGAGAATGGTTGAGTGGTGCGAGAGTGCATGATGGGAAATAGAAGCGATCAGAGATAGGAGGGTGTGTGGAGGTGAGTAGTGAGATGAGAGGTAGAGTGCATGAAGGGAAGTATAATGAGATGACAGGAGAGTGCGTGGAGGCGAGTAGAGATAAGAGAGGGAGGCAAGGGAGTCCAGGGAAGATGTGGAAGATGGCAAGTGCGATTTTTAAGTTGACTCAGTTTTTGTATTGGGAGCCAAGTTAAATTCACAGCAAAGCGGCATGCAATTGTCACGTGATATTTATTTTACGGAGCAATACATTTACAAAATCTTACACTTTTAACAATTAATTTTCTTAAGTTCATACGCAATTACATGTTTTTATTATAAGAGATATTCTGTGCATTGTTATGTGACAGGATTGCACTAATTAAGGTGCTTGTTTCTTGGGTGGTTATGGTGACACTGTGAATGTGAACCACGTGGTGTGGTTGTATTCCTCTCCTGGTCTCAGCAGGGCATTGGGGAAGTTGGGCTGTCGAGACAACAAAACGAAACGCGCGCACACACGACCAATTAGATCCTAGCAACATCTCGCAACAACATAGGCATTTCCCCTCCCAGACGATTCCATGAATTGTTACTTGTGGCGACGCATGGTAAAATACTATGGATTCATCTTCTTGGTTCTTTCGGTAAAGTCACGTAGAAGGGAAGTAATAAAATAATAAAATAATAAAACATAATAAAAAAAATATTTTTTTTATAATGTTTTATTTTTTTATTATTTTATTACTTTCCTTCTACGTGACTTTACCGAAAGAACCAAGAAGATGAATCCCTGCAGGCACGAAAGCTTTAAATCGAAATTTAACCGCTACTATGGACTCGTTTTTAAAGATTCTGGGGAACTTTTGATTTAAAGCTTTTTCGTGACTGCAGGGATTCATATGCTTGGTTGGTTCCCTTCTACGTGACTTTACCGAAAGAACCTAGAATATTCTGGGGAACGTTAAACCCTTCATTCTTACTCGCACGCAAAGTCCCAAATTGCGTTCCGCGAGCTCAATCCATCTTCTTGGTTCTTTCGGTAAAGTCACGTAGAAGGGAAATAATAAAATAATAAAAATAAAACATAATACAATAATTCTCACGACGTTTCGGCCACAACGCAAGCAGCCGTCCTCAGGTGAAGAACAGGTCTGTCGAGAAGACTGTCTTTATTATGTTTTATTTTTATTATTTTATTATTTCCCTTCTACATGACTTTACCGAAAGAACCAAGAAGATGAATCCCTGCAGTCACGAAAGCTTTAAATCGGAGCTCAATCCAGTTCATGCGTCGTTGGACCCTTAAGGTGTTTGCGAAGGTTCAGCCCTGCACATTGCTTGCTTCCACCACTGCTGGTGGAAGGGCCTCCGCTGGAGGGAGCTCTAGAGGGCCTGCCTCGAGGACTTTTCGGCCGACTTTTCCACACTGCCCAGACATGTTGGAAGAGGGAATGCCAAAAGCCTTACCCCCCCCCCACCAAAAGCGACCTGCCAATTGTTTGTTGCGCTATTATTTATGGCTAGGCCACCTTTGAAAGAGGGCTCCCGTAGCTCCGCGGGCTTTACCTGGTAAGATAAAAAAAAATTGTTTCGTATTATTTGCAGATTTTTTTTATTGATCTGCTTACCTTTCCTATACCTTCCACTCCTATCGTGTGTTTGTATTGTTTGTTATTGTAACCATCTGAGCCCACCCCACCTACTGGAGATCTGTGAAAAAGAGCTTTACAGCTTATAGGATTCCCCCAGTCTAAATAACGATTCCGATTCTGAAATACGAAGCCGGAGACCAAAAGGGAAGGGAACCCTTCTCCCGGCCGAGTACCCAGCTCACCTTATTGACTGCGTCGGGCCAGTTCTGTGTCTCGAGGCAGAAGGCCGAGTGGCGGGGGTAGGTACAACCGTCCTTCCCTTGGAGGGAACCGTCCAGGAAGTTCGCAGTGTAAAACTGCACACCGGGCTGCGTGGTCTCCACCGTCATCACACACCCCCTGCCTGCATGGCTAGCCCTGAGAAAACACCCCATGTCACAGCAGTTTCAACAGGCGAAGAGCGTGACAGCGACACGAAATGCACGCAAACTGTTTTTTGCGTTTTGTTTGTTGTCCTCCCCCATTAGCACGGTTGGCGATGTACGGTGAGAAAGAAGCCTCACCCCCCACCCCCCCTCCGTGTACTCAGTCACTGTTTCCGCTCCGTTTCCCTCCTGGCTCCCCTCCATTGGAATAAACTCCCAATCCACATCAAACATGCAACTTCACTGACCATTTTTCATTCCTCCCTTAAGAATTTTTTTTTCAATCGTGTATCTCTCTACTACTGCCTGTCCCCATCCTTAGCCATTTCCCGTCCTTCCTAACCTCGCCACTCCCCTGCTCCTATCACCCTTCCTTGCCATCCCTTCCCCTCCCCCAACACTCAAATCCCATCCCTTTTCCTCATCGGCCAATACTAATGTACCATTTTTAATTCTTGTAAAGCGCTTTGACATGGTTGGATAACAACATAGCAAGGGCCCTACGTATTTAACGTTGGGTAATTCACCGAACTTTGGCCAACATTTTGATACATTTTCTCCAAATGAAGACGTAATTCACCTGGCGCATGTCTGTCGCTCCCTGCTCTGGCTCAAGCAGAAGTTGTGGTCAAAGCCATCACCGGGAAGCTGTGGCAGCCGATCCCGCAGAATCACGGGGGAGCGAAGGTCAAAGGGTGTGTCCTTCACCGCCGCCACCTCGCCTTCCAGAGGAAACAAACAAGTTCAGTAAAATATGCAAACGCTTGGATTAACAGTTGCTTTTATTATCGTCTGCTCGTCTTGGCGAGCCAGGCGACATTCGGCAAGGTCCGTTGCTTTACCGCATCAAAATAGCTTGTGATGCATGTTCCAGACCGCAAATGAGTACCGCATTTAGGGTATAATTCCCATCTTGGCTGCTCATTTTGTATAAAAATTCATTGTAAAGCAATAACGGTGGCAATGGGGGACACTGGCCACTAAAAAAAAAAAATCGGAAAGAAAATTAACATTCGCC